CGAGCATCATTCTTTTGCCGCAGCTGGTGGGAATGAAGTGTCGGCCAAAGCTTGGCACTCAAGGTTGGGTCATCCATCTTCGGCAAAGATGATTCAGCTTGCTAGTCTTTTGTCTCCTCGTTTGCATATTAGTGAAGAATTTTGTCATTCATGTTCTTGTGCCATGCAAACCCGAACAGTGTTTCCTTCTAGTTCGATTAAAACGACGGATTGTTTTGAGCTTATACATCTTGATTTATGGGGAGGGTACAATATTCCATCTCTCAGTGGTGCGCATTATTTCCTCACTATTGTTGATGATTTCAGTAGAGCAGTGTGGGTGTTCTTACTCCGTTTTAAGTCTGATGTTGCCAAGTATCTACTCATGTTTCTTGAGATGGTCCGTACACATTTCAAACGCCAGGTCCGGCGTATTCAGACAGACAACGGAATAAAATTTCAATCTACTCCTCTGTGTGACTTCTGTCCAACATGGAATTCACTTTCAGACCAGTTGCACGGATACTCCACAGCAAAATGGTGTGGTCGAGCGAAAGCATATGCACATCCTTGAAACTGCCCGAGCTCTTCGTTTTCACGCAGGATTGCCTATCAGATTTTGGGGAGAGTGTGTTCTGACAGCTGTTTACTTAATCAATCGTCTCCCCACCGCTGCTACTGGCAAGACCCCGTTTGAGTTACTCTTCAACAAGCTAGCTACCTATCAACACCTTCGCATATTTGGATGTTTGGTATATGCTAAGGAAACTCATCGTGGCCTACAAAAATTTGCTGACCGGGGGCGCGCCTATGTGTTCTTAGGTTACCCCTAAAACCAGAAAGGTTATCATCTTTATGATCTGGTCTCTCGGAAGGTATTTGTCTCTCGAGATGTGATATTTGTTGAGGATCACTATTCTTTTCCTTCTTCTGACCAACAGAGTCTTCATTGGGTCCCCCCCCCCCCCCCCCGAGAACTTTGTTTTTCTGGTGGAAGACATCCCTGGTTTTTTTGCTCAGTCCGACCCACTTCAGTTTGGCCCATCATTTGGATCGTCCACTCCGTCCGTGGAAGAGGCCCCGCTATTGACCAACCCATCATCCCAGGACCCAACTCGCCTGGGCCCGCCTCGCCTGTGCCTGGGCCCGTGTCGCCGCCTGGGCCCGTCTCGCCTGCTCATTCACAGTCCAACCCATCCTTTGTCAGTCCAGGCCTCTGACTCACTTCTACTGTCACCCTAGGAATTGGCCAAGTGAAACCACTTCCTAAAGCGTAGTATAGCGGGTTTGGGTTTAAATGTCAACCCGGGTCCTAGATTTGATGACTACTCGGTGAATTCTTGTTATCTAGCAATGAAACTTTAATGCAAGTCTAAACTAACAAAGCAAGTAAACTGTTGTATTCAGGTTAAGAGAGGTCACCCGGATATGGTTCCCCCTAGACTGCAGTTAAGCCGGATTGTAATTACCAAGTTCAGTTTCTATGATAGTTATACTGCGGAAGGTTCTTAAACAGCCTCAAGTCTCGACTAAAGGTCTTCAGACCCTCTCAATCTGAGTCTCTAGCGGGCGACTAACCTCCACCGGAGTAAACAGATTGAGGCCCTATGAACAAAACCTCCACTACCGAAGTGAATCCGGTACAGAATAGTGAGTTGGCTCCTCGACTAAAGTCACCAACTCCCTACCTTCAATCAAGGATGCTCTATCAACCTAGGCAGATATTCTCATTCTAGGTTAAAGCAGAAACAACAGGAATTTGATCAGGCTTCAAGTCATTCAATCATTCAAACCTCAATCGAATATAATCAAATCATAGAATCAGTACTTGGGTTCATACAATCAAACCTAACATACAAATCTAGGGTTCTCCATACCCAGATGAATGGGAGAACTACTCCATAGAGAAAGAAGCAAAAGCAGAATCAGACGCGGAATTCATACTGTGAAGGATGGATTCCTGCTTCTGGATGTTGATCGGCACTTCTCCAAGCTCAAGCTGGCCTCCAATGGTGTTGAAGATCAATCTAGGGCACTTGGAGACTCTTGTTCGTCGGTTTTTCTCTCTAGGAACTGATCTCTCTCTCTAAAACTCGAATTCCCATGAATTGTGGCTGAAAATCTGCTTAAAAGCATCAGTGGCCAAAGCACGGTCGAGGACACGGCCGTGCTTTGCCTGAGTCCGCCCGTGTCTCGGCCAAGGTTTAATTACACGGCCAGCAGTTGGGAGAAACACGGCCGTGCTTCGCGTTGGGCACGGCCGTGCTTTGGTGCCCGTGTTTGCAACTGAAATTGCCAAACCGAATTTTTTCTCGGCATAAAAAGCACGGCCACAGGAACACGGCCGTGTAATGCCTTAGGCTGCCCGTGTTTTGGCTCCAGCTCACCGAAATGACTTCCGAATGCCCCGAAACTCGCGCTTAGCCTTCCCTTTGACACCTGGGACCTGAAACATTACAAAATAGCACAACCTGGCGTAAAATAAGCCACAACACACGACTATGCCCCTCAAACGGATAAGAACTAGGGGCGCAAATATGTGCAATTACATCGTTATCAGCCTCCATTCGTCTTCGCCCTCTGGGCCGTCGTCCCCAGTCGAGCTGCAGCATAAAGCACCTGAGCCTGCTCCTCCTCGACGCGGAGATCGTGTCCGAATTCGTCCCAAGCATTTGGCCAACTATGACACCACAATTTATGCAATTGATTCTATCCGGTATCCACTGTCATCTCACGTTAGCTATGGTCGAACTACACCCGAGTATCGTTCCTTTTTAACCTCCGTCACCAGCCATGATCTCCCACGGAACTTCAATGAGGCTGTCCGCCATGCTCATTGGCGGGAAGCTATGGTTCGCGAGATTGCTGCCTTAGTTCAAACTGGCACGTGGAGCCTTGTGCAACCTCCACCGGGTCGTCTCATCGTTGAGGCTAAATAAGTTTTTAAGATTAAGTACTACCCTGATGGCACCATTGAGCGTTATAAAGCTCGTCTCGTCGCGAAGGGTTACACTCAAATCGAGGGTTAGATTACCATGATACTTTTGCTCTTGTTGCCAAGCTTGTCACTGTTCGTTGCTTGATCGCAGTTGTCGTCAATCGTGGGTGGTTTATTCATCAACTCGACGTTAACAATGCTTTTCTGCATGGTGATCTCGATGAAGAGGTTTATATGAGAATCCCATTTGGCTTCGCTGAAAAGGGGGATACCAGAGTATGTCATCTGCACAAGTCTATCTATGGGCTCAAGCAAGCCTCCCGAAACTGGTATCTGCACTTTGTGAACTCGGCTTCCGTTCATCTTCTGCTGATCATTCTCTCTTCATCTATTGCCGCGACAATGTATTCGTCACTGCTCTTATCTATGTTGATGATGTGATCCTAGCCGGTAACGACTTATCCTTCATCAATCGGGTCAAGACATTTCTTGATCGTCGTTTAGTATCAAGGATTTGGGTCCCCTTCATTATTTCCTTGGCATTGAGGTTGCTCGTTCTCATCGTGGGATTGTTCTCAGTCAACGCAAGTATACCCTGGATATTCTTGAAGAGATGGGTATTCAAGGAGCTCGACCTAGTACGTTTCCTGTCGAGCAAAATCATCACCTGACACGTGTTTCCACTGCACCCCTTGCGGATGGTTCCGCCTATTGACGTCTAGTCGGTCGTCTTCTCTATTTGACAGTCACTCGTCCTGACATCACCTACGTCGTTAACATCCTCAGTCAGTTTGTGCATGCCCCGACCCAGGCTCACATGGATGCTGCTCACCGTATTTTGCGCTATCTCAAGCAAGCGTCTGGTCAAGATCTTTACTTCCCAGCAAATGGTTCCCTTGATCTTGTTGGGTACTGTGATGCAGATTGGGCTGGTTGTGAGAGTGCTCGCCGGTCTACTAGTGGTTTTTTCATTCGTCTTGGTAATGCTCCTGTCTCGTGGCGTACCAAGAAACAGAAGGTTGTTGCCCGCTCGTCCGCTGAAGCTGAATATCGAGCCATGGCCAGCACTGTAGTGAACTTATCTGGCTACGTTGGTTGCTCAGTGAGCTCAGTGTTACCCAGTCCCGACCTACTCCGTTGTTTTGTGACAATCAGGCTGCTCTTCACATCGCCGCCAACCCTGTTTTCCACGAGCGCACTAAGCACGTTGAAATAGATTGTTATTTTGTTCGTGAACGGGTTGTCTCTCATGATATTTTGCCTTGCAAAATCAGTTCCTAGCTGCAAGTGGTCGATATCTTCACCAAAGGGTTAGGCGCCGATCGATTTCGACTTGTGTTGTCCAAGCTACATGTTCGTGATCTCCACAGTTCACTTGCGGGGGCGTATTGGGCCACGTGCAGGCGCATCATGTTGTCTTCTCATCCATAACAGACAGTTCAGTAGAAGACTTGGACGAGGCTCCAAGTTCTCCTTGTACGAGAAGGAGTTGTCTTCCTTCTCCTCTTTGTAAAGCCCTAAAGTTACTTGATGATAGGGCTATAAATATATGGGTTGTACGACCATTGACCATAACTTAATAAGAAAAGCAGTTGGTGTTCTGTGGACGTAAGTCTCTCACACCAAGAGACCGAACCACGTAAAAATCCTTGTCTCGTTTTGTTCCTTGCTTGCGTACTTTTTCTCAGAACGTTTGATACCTAGATGGTTACAATACAAACCCTCATCAAGTGGGCTCGCTAACTTATCGAATTTAAGATTACATGCTATAACAACTTTTGTCGCGTATTGATATGCTCCTAATTAATAAAACAAAAATTTGCACAATGTAACTGTTGATCAGGTGATAATTATGTAGGCTAAATTACACGTTTGGTCACTCAAATTATACGAATTTTTCACGTTTGCCATCCGAATAACTTTTCTTCTTATTTGTCATAAACTTTACGAATTGTTTCACTGTAGCCACCGGCCGTCCAATTCCGTTAAAATCATCCTACGTGGCAGTCAACTAAATCCGTTGACCGTTAGCTTGATGACATGGCATTTAAAAAATAATAAAAAATAAATATTAATTTTCAAATTAAAAAAATTTCATCTTCCACTTCTTCCTCTTCATCTCAGCTTGGAGTAAAGGTCCCATTTCACTGTTTCGGTGTTTCCACATTTCGAGCTTGCCTTGGGCCTTAGCTAATGGCCTTCCTCCTAATGCATTTGTCTCCTCTGTTTCTTCAAACCCTGATTTGACTTCCCGCCGGAGATAGATAACATTAGCAATAATGGCTTCCACGCTGCTGATTGTCACCGTGTTGGTTCTCGATCTTATCGCTTTCTTCCTCGCCGTCCTCGCCACACATAGATGCACCACCATAAATTCGTATCGCCCAAAAATTCTCAGCTCTTGCATCTGAGTTCAACCGATTGTTCAACCTTGTTTTTGCTTTTGTAAAACCGGGGAGGGTGGAGGCGAATGTGAACAACAATATGTAGTATTGCATTTACGAGTCAGATATAGAGACCCGATTAGAGGCCGATGCGTTGGTGTTGTTGCTAGCGAATCAATTCTTGGTGATGGCGGTGACTCACTGCTTGTGCTGTGTTAGAGCTATGAGGCCGAGCAAGTTCCGGTCGTTAGATATTATCCTCTTCACGGAGCAGTTTGCCGACGGACCATACATCGGAGCCTGACGGATGAGTTTACAATATCGAAACACCATCCACGATAAATGCACTGCAAACTCTCGACTGATCGATCCTTCCTTTGGAGAGTGGAGCCAATCAATGTGGGCAATAATCGAACTTCTCCCTTTGGCTCTCTTTTCCAGTCATAGGCGAGTTAAGAATCGGGTTTGTTGTTGTTGAAACCGTAGACGGCGACGACGATGAAGTAGTGAAGAAAAGCTTCGATCTTTATGACAAGTCTCCATGAATGGAACGAGGGGGAGAAAAGGGTGAGAGCAGAGTTTGAAATGGGAGAGGCGGGAACTGTGGATTGCATTGGTAGAGGAAGGAAAGGGTAAATAGCGCGAAGGCTCGGCGGAGAAAATCCTCGTTGCAAAAGATCTGCTTTCAGGGATTTAGGCGTTGGGTTTCTGGGTTTCATAGTGTCTAGTGTCTACCCCCTAGGATCTGAATCTCCCTTCTTTTCTAAGAAATCTCCACAAGCCCCATAATTAATGTCAGAGACCGGGTAGCAATATCCAACCCATTTACTCCAAGTTGGGAGGAAGAGGAAAAAGTGGCCGATGAAATTTTTTTAATACGAATTTTTTTAAATGCCACATCATCAAACTAACGGCCAAAGGGTTTAGTTGACTGCCATGTAGGATGATTTTAATGGAACTGGACGGTCGGTGGCTACAGTGAAACGATTCGTAAAATTGGTGACGAATAAGAAAGAAAAGTAATTCAGGTGGCAAACGTGAAATATTTGTATAATTTAAGTGACCAAATGTGTAATTATGTAAATAGCAACTCTAACCCTACTTCAAGGGATCATTCTATCTCATTTTCTATTATTACAAAGCTAAAAAGGTGATAGTTAATTTCAAAGATTTGAAGCAAAATCAAGTGAATATTATTATGTATTAACGAATTTCTTCTTGAAGACTAACACTATAGGGAACTTGGACATAACATAATTCTCCACATTGGAAAATGTTGTCATTCCCTTTATAAGTTTATAATAATACTCCAAGATATTTAATGGCTTGGGAAAAAGATGAACTGCTCATCTTTTTCTACTCTGAAAGACTACAGACCTAGGTGTGCGTTTTAGGGATTGCGATTGGTATGAGAATTGGGGATTTTGGTGAGATAGAATAGGACTTAGGGTTGAGAGGAAGAGAGGCCGGGTCACCGGGATGGTGGCCGATGGCTAGAGAGGGAGAGAGGGAAGGCTCGGCTAGAGAGAGAGAGAGAGAGAGAGAGAGAGAGAGAGATAGTGCTTAGGGAATAATACTGTTGTTATTACTTAACCCGAGCTTATGCCTAACACATAATATATATAATTCGACTAATTCCCTATAACTACCCAAAGACTTAACCTAACCGATTTGACCCCAATAATTCACGAAATATCCAATGTATCATAAAACATCCAAATAACAATTAAACCCCCAAAGAACATGTATCTAACATTCCATCTCCCTTGAAAACCACATTTCCCTCAAGGTGGACCTTCTTTCTTCTCTTTCTTCTTCCCTTCTGCCTCCCGTGCCTCCACTTCCTCGACTTCATCTTCCCAGTTTCTGACGAGCAGCATCAGATGTCCCTTGGCGCACTGGTGTACCTTTCGTCACAATTGAAACAACGGCCATCTCTGCGCTTCTGGTCCATTTCCGCCTGAGTTAAGCTGACAAACCCTTTTGGCGGCAGTCTTGACGGAAACCTGCTCCCTGGCGCAGCTCCAGTGGCCACCGGGCTTGCATTTCCCGGCGGCGGTGTGGTACCCGCTGCTCCAGCTCCGATGCCTCCACTGGCCTTCGGAATGCGCCCAGTCGAGGTCCTCCAACTGGCCAACTCCTCTTCCTTGCGTCTTGCAATCCTGAAAACAACTCGAAGAGAGTCAGGTTCAAAGACCTTCACGGCCGTTGCCAGCTCGGGACGGAGCCTGATGACTCGATATTTGCACATGTTTTCCCCTTTGTTTCTTGATCGTTTGAGATTTAATTATCGTGTCTTTGGCCTATTTTACGCTAGGTTGTGTTCCTTGTTCACATTTCAGGTCTTAGCACATAAATTGAAGCATAGACGCTAGTTTGAAGTCAATCAGAGATCAATTGGCGATTAGGGAGAAGAAACTCGAGCATGACCTGAAGAAGAATGGATTTATACCTCACTTTAAGGACAAAGAATCATGAAATATTGTCATTAAAAGAAAGAGGACGAGACTACGAACGTCTGGGATCAAACGGCGACTGATTCAGAGTCCGGACGAGGGAGAAACGAAGCATTGAATATAGGGGAACATGTTCGGCAGTAAAAACACGGGCGCGCCTAAATCAAAACACGGCCGTGCCCATATTTAGGCACGACCGTGTTTTGGCCGACGCGCGCGGGCGTGTTTTTAACACGGGGAAAAACACGGACGGGCAAAAGCAAAAAACGGCCGTGTCCTCGACAGTGTTTTGCCCAGAATCGGGTTTTTTAACCCAAATTCGAGCAAAAGGAGAGGTAGAGCTGGGTTTTGGATCCCAAACACCCAAGGGACGAACCAAAGAGAGAGAGGGCGATTTGAGGGCATTCTTGGAGTGGAATTGGAGGATTTCTTTGCCTTGGAAGCTCGAGGAACAAGCCCGGACTTAAAGACTGATCATCTGAAGATTCTTACTGCAGTCTCTCTCTTCTCTATGGAGTAACTTCCCTTCACTTAGGTTTTGAGGAACCCTAGCTATGTTTGTTTGATTGGATGATTGTATGAGTACTCTGACTTGATAATCTTGAGTTCATATTCAATCTATGCATGTTTTCATGATTCAATTCTTCTTTAGTCGAGATTATTGATTCTGCTTTGATCCTATGAGAGGGAATACCTGATTAGGTCAATAGAGCACCATAGATTGATAGTAGTGGATCGATTGCTTTAGTCTAGGGTTGATTCACTGCTTTGTATCGATTGAGAACCTCTTTCGATAGAGGGAGTCTAGTTCAGAACGCCTTGATCAGTTGTTCTAGAGAAGGATACGTCCCTCTAGGCAATTGACTCAAGAGGGCCTTGCTCCTTTAGTCGAGACTCAAGGTCTAGTCAAGGATTCTCCGCATTGTGAATGAAAGTGAAACAAGTTAGAAATCATCAATCGTTAGTCTGGCTAGTGGCTAGGGGAATCATACCTAAGTGAGTTCCCAACCTGTAATTAGATTAACTTTAACTGTAGTTTGCTAGAGTAGTTTTAGTTCTTTCATCATAATCTGGTTTGCTAAATAATAAACTGAAGCTGAGTAATAGTAACTCTAGAGACCCGTGGATTCGATATTTATCACTTGAGCCACTATACTGCTGTCCCTTTCATTGGTTACACTTGGCCATTGTTAGGTGTTGTGTCGTAGCGAGTCAAGTTTTTGGCGCCGTTGCCGGGGACTTTCTAGAGTATTAGGAAAGGCAGAAGTTTGTTACTTTAGCGTTTTTCTTTTAATTTCTTTTCCACCCTTGCTTTTCACTTGGGTGTTTTTGTTTTTTTTGGTGCAAATCTGAATCATGGATCCTCATGGCTTCTCTAACAATTGGGGGTATCCACCACCACCCGAGTGGTATTACCCCGAGACTCCCTGGAGCAATCAAGGAGGAGAAGACTATGGATTCGGGTTCTAGTACCAACCCCCTTACTACAGAGAACAACCGGACCCCTGGGCATATCAAGAACAACCTCATTATCAAGAAGAATTTCTCCCACAACCAGAAGGGCCATCGACGCTGGAGTTACCCATGGCGGCCTTCACGGGCCATTCTGTAGAGCCATGCTACACTCCACCGCCAGATCCAAACTATGAATTGAGGCTTCTCATGGAGCAGTTTGCTCGAGATTGTGAGAGATCATGCTCCAGGATGGATCATTGTGTCCAGGCCTATCGTGAAACAGAGGAGATCCTCCTGAGCCTTAAGAAGAGCGCCGATGATCTTGAGAGATCTTTCGCACAACCTGCTCCAGATCACCCTTATGCTACCATACAAGAAGAGGAGGAGGAAGAAGAAGGCTACAAGGACATAGTGGAGCACACTGAAGTTGTCACGGAGAGCTCCCGTGATGATCATGATCAGGAATGTCATATCATAGCCGACCACACCTTCCCACATCCCAAACTGAGCTTTGAAGAGGCGGGCATGAGTGAGGAGATGCAAGAAGATCTCATGAAAGAAATTGCTTGGCAACTTGCTCTCCAATCCGTGCTAGAAGAAGAAGAGCAAGAAAGGGAGGTTGAAGAAGCAATTGGCGTCCAGGCTGAGGACGAAGTTGAGGTGGAAGAGGATTGCACCGGCCATGAGTTACATTTGATATCTCCACCAAACTTCGAGGAACTACTTAGCAAGGATCCATTTGCAGTGTCTCTTTGCCATACCAAGGTCACGTCGACATTGGTCCCTCTTGGTGGACGCGATGGTGGTCAATCGATGCTGTCATATCTTGTTTGGGGCAATGAGACGAGAGAAGAGAAGAAGAGGTCTCGAGGGTGGAGACTTCATCCTCATCAAGTGCACGAGCTTCCATCACCTGTCATACCACATGCTCGTGACTTGAGACTCCACCTCATTGACGAGAACCTCAACTTCAAGGAGGTTTTGGGGTGACCGAAACATAGGAGCCATCGTCCGGCTCACGACGTGAAAGAAACGCTTGTTGGGAGGCAACCCAACCAGTCGGTTTGCATTTCTTTCTCTTTTTCTCCTTGGTTGAGTCAGTTTTGTTATTT